AATTTTTGGGATTCCTTCAATGAAATTATTCGAATATTTTCCAGTCAATAAAATCTTCAACTGCTAGATAATAAAAGAGATTGTTGATGCTATCATTTATATATTTTGAGATATATTTATATATATATATATATATTTTTGATAGCTTTTCGAAGATATAAATATTATATGCCTTCTGCAGGGACTGCTATATCAATAAGAAGACAATTTTTTGGTCTCTAATAATGTCCGGGCGATTAGCTTTGATTGTTCTATGTGTATTGGGTAGTCCCATAAAATTGTTACAGGTCCTATTATTATTATTATTATTATTATTATTATTATTTATATTCGGAAATTATTATTAATCATTTTTTTTTTTTTTTAACTAAATGTTTCTCCAGTGATAGATTGTCTTCGTCTCGCGGTCCATAAAAATTTTTCTCGTTTTGCTCAATTTTGTTTACCCATTTTGTTTCAAAACGATTCCTCAGAGTCTATACATATACGACTCAAGGATAAAAAATTAATATGTTTTTTCCCAATGACTTTGATGACGGACTAATTACTCATCTGCTTTGGTACTACTCGGACCAGGGATTGAACTCACAATTATTATTTCGCTAACAAGCGTTTTAATATTCTGTTTATAAATGTCATCGAAAAATTCTTTTTTTAAATTCCGTTAAGCTGCCTGTTGCGGACGACGGGTTATGGCTATTGTATGGAGAGACCTTCGTCCTGTATATGTTGACATAATGATTGTAGGTTCAGTCGATGGGCAGAGTAGTACTACATTAGACTCACTCTGTTATCAAATTCACGAATCGGCCTTCTAATCAATTTATTTTTTCTCATCCATTAGAAACTGTTTTCCAAGCTCCGAATCCACTGAGCGTCCTGGGTATGACGATAATTTGGACAATGCGTCCTGGGTATGAAGATAAAATAATCCGCGTTCTGAGTAAGACGATAAACTACATCCGCGTCCTCCAATGACGATAAACTATATCCGCGTCCTTTAAGACGATAAACTACATCTGGGTCCAAGTAAGACGAAAAATACATCTACCTCTTGAAAATGATGATAAACTACATCCGCGTCATGGGTATGACAAAAACTACATCCGCGTCCTAAATAATGACGATAAAAACAATGCAAGATGAGTAAGACGATAAACTCATCATCTGCGTCCTGGATATGACGATAAACTACATCCCGCGTCCTTGGATAAGAATAATAAACTATATCTCCAAAAAATTTGGACAAAAGAAAAAAAAACGTTTCCAACAAAAACGCCTCTGTTTTGGTTTTTTGAAAAACTTTTAAGAATAATCCTGTTACGTTTTGAAAAAAAAAATATTACTTTTTAGATTACATATACGTTTTTGAACAAAAAAAATATTAAAGAAGAAATAGATTTTGAAAAAATAAAAAAATTTACCAGAAAAAAAAGTTGTCGTGATTAAATGACCCATTGAGGTTGATTTAAATTAAAACAATGCAAAACCAAACCAAACAAACCGAATCCATTGAATGTGGAACTGTATTCATCTACAGAATCTGATATGTCCGGCGAGGACCGCAATATGGAAATCTTTGAGATCTCAGCAGAAGTGCGACACGAAGGAGATGATCGTTCTCGTCTATTTGATCCCTTTACAGACTACGCCCTGTGCATATGCAAAGATCGGATAGGGTGTATACTGACCATTTAAGCATTCCATACGGCATCCCGAATGAGACAACGATTCTGCCTTATTTTATAAAAAAATTATATTTCAAATGATCTCTATATTCAATGACAGCGAGACGAGATTTGTTGACGCACGTAACAAAAACTGAAGGGTTCAAGGTGTTTTTCTCTGAAGGTTAGACACATTTAAAACCCATGAAGGCCTGATATTTAAAGGGTACAAGAAAAACTTATTTGAATTTGATAACAACAACAACAACAATAATAATAATAATAATAATAATAATAATAATGACATAGTGAGCCAATATCTGCACTGGAAAATATGGAACTTCTACGGGAAGGAAACTGAAAGAAACTGGTATGAACACCACCCAGACCCGGTTACAGAGATAGGACCTGTTACAATTCTATGGGACTAAACAATACACACTGACAGAACAATCAAAGCCAACCGCCCAGACATTGTTATTAAAGACCACAAAAAAAAAAGTGCCTCCTTATTGATATGGCAGTCCCTGCTGACTGCAATGTATCTTGAAAGATATATTCAAAAAGCTGTCAAAATACAAGGACCTTGAAATAGAAATCCAAAAATGTGGCATATGGGAACATCAACAATCCCTGTTGTAGTTGGAGCCCTAGGACTGGTTGGAAAAGATTCCAGTAGACTAATTGAAGGGATTCCTGGAAGTCCATGCCTCAAGGAGATACAAAAAATTTTTCTGACAAGTACAGCCCACATTTTACGAAGGGCTTTATCTATTTAATTTTTTTTTTTTTTTGTGGAAAGTGTCATGATGCCATTTCTAACCTTAGGTCTCTGGGCGGGACCCGGAAAGAAATGTTTAAACGCCAGAAATCAAAGAAAATAATAATAATAATAAATATATCTAATTATAATATAATTTAAGAAATCTATACAATTTGGTCTGCAAATGTTCTGCAAAAGACTTTATCTGTTCGAGTTTACACGACTTCATGGAGACTTCCCATAATGTAAACTCTCCGATTGGAAATGACTTTGACTAGTTGCCAGTCATTTTTTATTATCTTCTGTCATACATTCACCCGAACTCGGTAAGTTATCTAAAATTTTTTACATATTATATCTTCTTTCAATAAACAAATGCGATGTGCAAAATTCCACAAATACATTCCGCCTTGTATAATGGTTTTTTTACTATATGCCGTTTACGCAGAATTCCTTTATCTACATCCGGGCATTATGGAAGATAGGAAGTTTGAAAAGTATTACGATGACGTCACGTTTATCTTTTTTGGGAACGATGACCGCACCAAAAAATGCGAATTTTTAAAAATTTTATTTATTTTATTTTCCGCAAACCACTTTCAAAGAATGGTTATAGCAGAATTTAGGATGGTATACTATGGGCAAATGATACATTAGGCTACCCCAAACTGGTCTCAAATTGCTATGAATTTTTATCCAAAAAATATTTTAAATCCTTACTAAAAATTTACCAAATAAATATAATTTTAATAAAAAAAATATAACACTGATAATACATTTTAAATTAAAAGAAAATATTAATTAACTATAAATGACCCATAAGACGTTGATGTGCCGCTAAAATTTCAAAAGATCTTCTAAGAATCTTGTTTTTATTAAATGACTTAATTATGTATTATATACTGTAAAAACCAAACCAAATCAAACCAAACTAGTTCAGGATTTATATATTCCTTTGAAACCACATAAAAACCAATAAATAGGAATACAGAAAATAAAAAAATTTGATGGCAGATTTAGTATTAGGACTCTGCCCTTCGGAAGAAAATTGTACTGAGGTTCCTCTCTCTTCAGAAGCAGAGAAATGACTATAGAAAGCTGGAACATCTCAGCTAGTATATTTAGCTACTAATATAAAAGGGTTGCATGTGGCACAAGGCCGGTTTAACGTGGGTTCTAGAAAAATAGGCTCGGCTAACAATATTCCCTTTTGAACCCAAAAAAAACGGGATCAGGGGCAGTCTACCTCCCCGAACGAGACTCTGCCTCTTGGCGCAGCCTCGTCCGGGTTCCTCTCTGCTCAGAGGCAGAGAGCTCGACTGTTTAGCTGGAACAGATCCCAGCTAGTTTCTGTAGTCCGTTGACTTACAGATACTTATAGGTAGTTACTATCTATAGTGTAGTCACTCATGGTGTTGACAGGCTATTTCATTACATCAGATATTTATCCCTTGTTTCTTGTTTAGGATTCCGTTTCCGGTTCCTTCTAAAGTCTACTTCAACACTACAATTCTAATATCTCCACCTAGAACTCTGAACATTTATTTACTAATTATTTTTTTCCTACATAGGATTAGATAGGTTCACCTGTCTTCCGATTCACACTCCTCATCGGTCTTTTGAACAGGATTGGCTATTTATCCCTTGTTTCCTGTTTAGGATTCGGTTTCCGGTTCATTCTAACGTCATTTCATTCTCTTTCCCTCCAAGTAGTCACTTGTTTCTTAGTGGCAATTTTTTTTTATGAATTAATACAAAAAAGTAAACAAAAAAGAAATCCTGTCCGACGATTTCATGAAAGATTTTGAACACATTTATTCAAGCCCGCATAAAAATAAACCCACTAATTTATAAAGCGCAAACCAGTTCAAGGACCAGCAAGATTCATTTTGAAACATGTCACCAAACTTCTAAGACGGCAAACTGCGAACAAGGAGGGCAAACCTGGATTAATATACAATATTAGATGAATAGATTAGTCCAGAAATGTCCATATCTGTCTATATTTATGTACACTATTTACATTATTTGGACTATTGTTCTCATCTTTGTCACCATATTTATTAAAAATGTGAAACGTTTGATTGTACGCTCCAGCCTTCTTCAGGTGGTTGGAATGTCGAACCGAAATTTTTTATTTCGTTCACTGGGGTAGACTGTTCTAGTTCCACGTGCCATGTTTTAATGGATGTCGGTTATCAGAAATCTCCTGTTAATTCCCTTCTCCATTTTTCTTTAAAATTGCTTTAACCGGGTATTGAACTTACACTTTTGGGTCCTGCAAATGGATCTAACCAACGTCTTTATTTTAATCCACTGTGCCATGTGTCCTCAAGATCTCCTGTTAATTACCCCTCCAAGTTCTCTACCCGCTTAACCAGGTATTGAACTCACACTCAGCCACATTGTGTCATGTGTCCTCGAAACGTTGTAATAAATATGGCGACAAAGATGAGGACAATAGTCCGAATAATATAAATAATGCCCAGAAAGCTTTTGAGCACCTCCTGTCACAAGTAAAAGAGAGGCGCTCAATGAAGCAACAACTGAACTCAGTGAATGAAAAAAACTCAAATCATTTTGAAGGAAAGTTCATATACGTAGGTACGTATGTGTGTTTGGATGTATGCGATAGAGAGAGAGAGAGAGAGAGAGAGAGAGAAGAGAAAGTTCTCAGGAACTAGGAAAAGAAGGAAAGGACAGAATAAAAAAGATATTATGTTCCTAAATGTTAACCTTACCGGAAATAATCAACGCGTCTATTTGTGAGTTAAGTGGACTTGCATTAAATTTTACAGCCTTAGCAAACAGACGAAGACATCATACTGAAAGTTAATCTATTTTTTTAATTTTTTTTTTTTAATTTAGAATTTATTTTTTAAAACAACCCGGAGGCAGGATTGAAATATTTTTAATTTCCCGGAAATTCAGTATTTTGAAAAGGGAAACATTATGCAGTTTATTGGTTTCTTCCTTGAACAGCTTCTCATTCGATCACCGAAGTTAAGCAACGTCGAGTACGGCCAGTACTTAGTGTTATGGTCCGGTTCCTTGTACCACGGTGATAGTCCAAGGTAGAACCAATAAAGAAGAACTCGAACACAGGTATGGAATAATACAGATATATTACAAACAGGAATATATACAGAGAAGTAGAAGTGTTAGTATGAAGAATCAGGTTTAGTAGAGAGAAGAATGTAGTCTCGACCAGTATCCCTATTCCAATGTCTTGAAGTAATTGTCTGAACGCGACTCGGACTGCCTCTGACTCGACACTTGACTCGACTTGAACTACTGACGATATTCAGTCACCCCCCACCCACGAGGGCGTCATGTGGCACAAGTCCTTTTTTAACGTGGGCTCTCCGAGCCTGTGGGCTCGGACAAAAATATGCCCATTGAACCCGTATAAACGGGTTCAGGGACGGTTTACCTCCCCGAAAGAGAACCCGCCCCTCGGCGTAGCCTCTTTCGGGTTCCTCCCCGCCCGAAGGCAGAGAATTCAACCGATCTGTCGTTCAAGACTTTAGCGACTGTCACCTTGCCTACTCCTGAGGCGCATTATTTATTAAGTATGGAATAGCCCATTATTATTATTATGGGTAAGATCCCATAGCACTTAGATTTGGGTTTTACTTGAGAAAAAAACGGTCCTGTAAGCAACCCAGTACAATTCAAAATATATTTCCTCTTTACAAACGGGTAATAAACCGTGAAAAACAAAACAATTACACATGTCTCAAAATTACACAGAAAGCACTGGTTCTCCTTCAATCACGGAAGTTAAGCAGCATCGAGGTCAGTCAGTACTTAGATGGGGGAACGTTCGAGAAAACCGAGTACTATTAGGAATCTACCTGAAACCAAAAATGTGTCTCATATAACAAGAAAGAAATTTAATAAACCTTAAAAAAATACAAATCAAACAGCCTCTGATAGCCCAGAGCGAATAAAATAAATTAAATTGAAGTGATACTCTCTAACTTCAAGACGCAAGGGTTCATGACTCTTCACAGCTTTCTCACTTATGCGGTCATTATAAATACTTCCTCCTTTACGACCATTCTTCATTTTGGAAGTTCTGATTTTGTGGTTAAAACGTTGGCTTTGAGTGTGTAATATCAAAGTGACTTCTTGATGGTCTAGAGAAGCATGAGGTACCTTCGGAAAGGTGTCTAAAAACCATGCCACGGGTTGACTCAAACCTTGTGAGTAGACGGAACCCTTAGGGATCCGTCAGTGATTATGCTAGCAGGAAGTCACAAGTCATCGGGACCGAGGCATTTTTGAACGTGATCATAAAATTGATCTTTTAATTTCAGACTGTTGATCACGTTAGATAACGCGCTCTCTCCCAGAAAACAGTAAATAATAAACGAATGTAACTGAGCTAGCGTCTGCCATGGGAACGAAAAAAGGATTCAGACTAACCTGTAATGTTACCAATATTCATTTTCTAGCTTCCATCTTCAAAGTCTATAAAAAGAATACCCGCTCGGCCCGGTGGCTAGGATCAAAGTGTAGTATCTGCGCTTTGTGAGCTGCCGGGTCGGGTGTCTGTCGAACTCTCTGCTTGCAGAGCGGAACCCGGACGAAGATATGCCGAAGGGTAGGGTTTCGTTGGGGGAGGTTGACGGAACTGGCCCGCCTCGGCGGGTTTGGATGGTTATTTATTTTTGGCTGGGCCTACGGGCTCAGATATGCCCACATTAAAAAGGCCTTGTGCCACATTCGATCCCCGTGGGTGGATTGATAAATACCATCTTCAAAGTCTATTCAAGAAATGTCACGAGAACGGTGAATAATTTTAAAAAGATGGAAAAGAAGAAAACTGACTCAGGAGGACACAACTGGAAGGGTGATGTAAGCGATCTGGTATTGCAAAGGAAATATTTGTCGCAGATTGCTTCCACAACGCAGAGAATAAATCCCTAAGTTCAGACTCGAACATCGGGGCACAGAAAGAAATGCCGAAAACTCGATTCACAGGTACTATCTCACAAATCCCAATGCACGTAACCAGTCAGAAAAATAACTCATTCTCCAAAAAACGCGGTAACCAAAATACCCGAATTTTTTCCTCCCGATTCGAGAACACCAACTGCTTTTATCGGCCGAGCATTTTTTCCATTCGTCGACAGCTGGGAGAGGACACTCAATTTTTGCGTATCAAAATACTTTTATAGCGACTCCTGCGACGGACTTGTTTTTTTAATTTAAATATTCCGTTTTCAGCATGTCAAAAGCGGAATACGTGCCTTTATTTTTTTGGTAAGTAATTTTCTTTTTTCGCCACATTTTCCGTCGTAGGATACACGCAACGCGCTGTCGCTTGGTTTGACGAGGAAAAATCGCCGTTTTTCTTTGCTATAGGCGATCATAATTTCAACTTAGACTTAAAGAGACCAATTAGAAAAGATCCAACTCAACTCATAACACGTTTGGCACATCAGAGAGAAGTTTCAGCTATGACAGAGCAGTAAAAAAAATGAAATCGAACAACAAACCGATGAGGCAACTTGTTTCTCAGGACAGAAAGAAAAAAAGATTAGAGTGGGCGAAGATCATCTTGAATAAGTTGGAAAATGATCGGGGATTACATATATATATATATATATATATATATATATATATATATATATATATATAATGTGTGTGTGTGTGTGTGTGTGTGTGTGCACTTTATTTCAATCATTCATGAGCTTTTGATCCTTAGGTGGGATTAATTAATGATGTACATTTCATTTTTGTTTATGATTGATTTCATCACGATTCTTCTGTTAAGCTTAGAGAGTAAATATACATTCTTATTGCTTATAGCAGAGTCCAATAGTATGAGGCACTACTCAGCCGTAATTGTCCTAGCAAGACAAGGTTGCTAACTATTACACCGCCTCGAGGTGCCCAAATATATAGATATACATGATATAACTATATATAATTTTATTTAATTTTATATATCAATATACTATTTACAAATTTAATTTTCCAATTATATATATATATATATATATATATATATATATATATATATATATATATATATATATATATATAGGAGAGATATATATGAATAAACTGATGAGGGATGAACAAAGAAATAACTGATATAGAAGGAAAAAGAGTTGAACAGGCTGTGAAAGAAAGAAAGAAAGAAAGAAAGAAAGAAAGAAACAAAGAAACAAACAAATGACTGCGATGGACAGAGAAAGAGTGATAGAGAGAGAGAGAAAAGAAAGAAAGAATGCAAAGCACGAAGATAGATTGAGAAAGAGAGGCAGAAAGAAAGAGAGTTGAAGAAAGAAAGGAACGCTTGAGATAGAGCGAAAAAAGAGATAGATAATGAGAGGTGATCAAGAGAGAGAGAGAGAGAGAAATGACAAAAAGAAAGGAACAAACAAAGAGAGAAAGTAAGAAAACAAAATAAAAAAAAAGAAAGAGAAATAAAAAAAGAAAGAGTGATGAAGGAAGAAGCGACTGAGATAGACAGAGAAAGTGAGGTAGAGAGAGGAGGGGGAAATCTAAACAAGAAAGAGAGAAAGAAAAAAAACAGCTGAAACAGACGGAGAAAGAGAGAGAGAGTGTGCGAAACAGTGAGCGACTGAGTGGGTGAGAAAAAAAGAGAAAGTAAGAGAGAAAGATTGAGGGTGTGAGTGAGAAAGAGAGAGTGTGTATTCAAAAGAGAGAGAGTGAATAGGAGAGAGTGTGCGAGAGTGAAACAATAAAAAAGAGAGAGGGGTGAGATAAAGAAAGGGTGATAGTAAAAGTGGGGATATCGTTTTAAAACACCTCCTCGAAATGGGCAAGATGAAAACAATCTTTGAGCGTCTTGTAATGATCTCATCCGAATTTCCAAGGAAAGTTTGAAGGTCGCGAAGCAGTAGAATAAAGCATTCGGCGTGAGAAAGATGGCGGGGGTCGAAGGAGCTTAGCGGTTCAAGGATCTTTCATATAACACAACAGCCGGACTTGATAAGCACCAACGCCCAGCCTCACCCACCAGTCACATCCATCGGGCCGACTCGACTCTAAAGAGGTTTCAATCCGAACCGGGTAAGCCTTCTGTGGATGCCATTCAGTGCATCGTTTAAGCCCCAAATCGATATCCGTCATGAAAAGGGGCCGCTTTGCTTATAAATTTAGCTATGCGATTAAAGCAAGGGAGCAAAGTACTTGAAAATTAAATGCATTACTATTCTGACCAGCATGCTGATATTGGTTGGTCTAGTCATAAAATTCGGTCCGTTGCATTCTCCGGCCTTCGTCAGATGTCTGCCAGCATACTCGATGATTTACCCGAAATTTTGAACCGAATATTTTATTATTTACATTATTCGGACTATTGTGCTCATCTTTGTCGCCATATTTATTATAACGTTTCGGCCGTTGTACGCTCCGGAGTTCTTCAGGTGCTTGGAATGTCGAACTGATCCCTTTATTTCGCTCGCTGGGGTAAACTCCAAGTTCTCCACCACCTTAACCGGGTATTGAACTCTCACTCTTTGGGTCTTGTAACTGGATTTAACAAACGCATTTATCCATTGTGTCATGCGTACTCGAGGACACATGGCACGGTGTGGCACAGTGAGGCAGGGTGTGGGTTCAATACCCGGTTAAGGCAGTGGAGAACTTTCAGAGGGGAATTAACAGGAGGTAACTGATAACTGACATCCATTAGACATGGCACTTGGAACTAGAACAGTCTACCCCAGTGAGCGAAATAATGGGTTCAGTTCGACATTCCAAACACCTGAAGAAGGCCGGAGCGTACAACGGCCGAAACGTTGTAATAAATATGGTGACAAAGATGGGGACAATAGTCCGAATAATGTAAATAATGTACATAATACCTCATCTCAGAAATACACACACACACGCACAGACACACACACACACACACACACACACATATATATATATATATATATATATATATATATATATATATATATATATTCGACTCTCCCGTCGAATTCGACGTATGAGGGTCAAGCAGATCAGTTTCTAGGAAACCGACAGCCCGACAAAAGCACATGAGATTTGATTATAGTGGTGAAGGTTTCGTGCAGGACCAGCCACACTTTTTGAAGGGCCCAATACAGAGACATGGTACACTACGTGCCACAAGGTTCCCAAACAACCCTCCGCAGGTTTTGAATTCAGAGTTGTCCTTCTCTTAGACCAGTTGCCATCCAAGGCTATAGAACCCAGTCTGTCCTGCTATTTACCCACAGCTGGGGTGGGGAAAGGATTCACACCTTTCCCAAAGGGTATTAGAACTGAAATTCGAACTCGGTACTCCGATTCCTCAATCCAAGCAACTACCCATTACTCCACCGTTTATATATATATATATATATATATATATATATATATATATATATATATATATATAATTTTACGATCATTTGTACATAAACAATTTTTAAATCATGGTGTGTTTATTTTGTAGGTTCCATTTGTGTATGGAGTATTGTGGTATATGTAGGAGTAAAAGGTGAAGTATGTCTTCTTTTGATATATGATTAATTGATTCTATATTGATTTGTTTTTAACGGCTTATCGACCTTTTGCAGGTTATTTAAAGACAGAATATATTTGGATACACGCTTAGGCGATCATGCATCAATAAGTTGCCATTTCTTTCTGCGGTAGACCAGTTACCCGCCAAGGCAACGCGGTCTGTTCTGATATTTGCCTATAACTGGCGGGAGAAGAAGCGGACTCATAACGGGTAGCAAGAAAAGAAGGCTCGATATAGATTTGCTAGCTTATGCCATGTTTCACTGGTTAGGATATTCTGACCAATTGTATGTGCCCGGACAGTGTTAAGTGTTAGGCCTAGAATGGCTGGACACTGGAAGTTCAATCTGTCTTGACTGAACATGCGACTCTTCCCGCAACAACCATTTACATTGGTGCAGTCGGGAACTATTGGGGGCGGTTAATGACAATAGTTGGTGGGAAAGGCTTAAGGATACCATTAGGTCTTTCACCACTGAATATGGCCAACACCCTCCCATAGATAAGGCTAAAAACGTGAAGCCTCTGAAGGATTTTCTGTCCTAGGGGGAGGCTGGGGTATTCCCTAGAGATAGTTTTAGCTAGGAAGGTTCTGGAGCTCACGGCTAGCGAGCCTTTCTAGGGTAAGTTAGTTAGGCGTAGGTGAAAGAAGATATCTAACAAAACCGTGAACATGAGCGCAGAATTGCACAAGAAAGAGATCCGTCGAAGTTCCGATCGATACATTCGTGAGGTCGATAACCTGGTCGGGCGTACTCTGAGGTCGACTATTGACATGTGCGAGGTTTTTCGGTTTACCAAGAAGCCTAGACTCTGTGACGAAGAGTTTCGCAGTTATTTGGCTGGCTTTGCTCGACCTGAGCCGATTGAAGCGGCTAGAGCTGAGAGTGAGATTACACAGGGTGAAGTCTACTTGGCTTTGAAGAGGGTCGCCATTGGCAATTCTCTGGGACTTGATTCTCTGCCATAGGAATTTTACTTGAGACTGTCGCACATCTTTGTGCCGATTTAGAGACTCTTGCAGAACAAATGGTTCTGGCAGGAGACCATCCCCAACAGCATCTTCAGGGATGGGACATGCTCTTGAAAAAGAACAAGGATGGTGGGCGGGAATTTGATGATTACAGGCCCATAATCCTGCTAAACACAGAGTTAAAGATTTGGGCCAATATCTTGACGGAGCGTTTGCAGTCAGTTGCGGAGATTCTGTTGGGACCCGAACATACTTGTGCTGTAAAGGGCCGAACAATTCAAAGCAAACTGCATCTGATTCGCACGATCCTAGAGGGTGTAAAAGACGGCGAACAAGCCGCGATGATCAGTTTGGATCAGCCCAAGGCATTTGATAGGGTCGACCATTGGTACCTGGCTGCTGTCCTGCGGGCCGACGGATTCAACTCCGGCTTCTGTAGGTGAATTAGCCTCCTGTATCGCTCCCCCAGTGCTGAGGTACAGGTGAACGGAAAGCAGTAGCGCGATTTTGCGCTGTCTCGGTCGGTTTGTCAGGATGGCCGACTTTCGCCCTACTTTACACTTTATGATCTCTCCTTCGCCGGCTAAAGTCCTGGGTAAGACGTTAAACTGCATCCGCGAACTGAGTAAGACGATAAACTATGTCCAGCAGTAAGGCATGAGATCAGGAGGTTTTGAGGAGCGTGGAACCAACTCTTTATTGCTGGTGTTCCCAGGTCTACCCTGACCCGGTGTGGTAGCACCTGTTAGGGTCCCAGCTATGGGCAAATAGTTAAATATTACCAGCAATACTTATTTTTTTTAATTATTACCAAAAATACAATTTTGAACGAAAAATTTACCAGAAACACATTTTAGACAAAATAAAATATTACCAGCAATAAAAAATATTAAATATCCCATTGAGGTTGATATGCTGTTAAACAAAATAAACCAAACCAATCTAAACCAAAGAATACATATTGTATTCATACGAATCTACCCTAAAAATGTTGTCGGCATTACCCATTGAGGTTGATATGCCGTAAAACAAAATAAACCAAACCAATCTAAACCAAAGAATGCATATTCTATTCATACGAATCTATCCTAAAAAATGTTGTCGGCATTAAATAACCCATTTGTTGTAAAACAAAATAAACCAAACCAAACATTCGCCGGCTAAATGACAAGTCGTGCAGTCCGACTCGATGTGAAATCACTGTCCCTGGTGGGGTTCGAGACAGCGTTTCCGAGTACGCTGATGACATTTTCGTGTCGTGTCTCAGCGACATTAAGGTTGGCTTTCCTATGCCGTGCGTTGACAGAGGACTCGATCTTGGAAGGGAGTGTTTGGGGGCTCCTTCACTAGTCTTAACATCAACTCCCGTTTCTAGGGCTGAGCGCCGTCGCAAACCCAGGAATCAGTCGAGTTTCCTCAGAAATTCGAGCGACCTTGAGGGTCATTCTTCGGTCCAGTGACATTTCACGGATTGGGAGATTTTTGTATCGGGAATTGGGGAAAGCGTCGTGAAGAATCGTCTCTGTGAGTTGTACTCTTCTTGGGCGCCAGTGGCGGATTATCTCAGCTGGCCTGAGTTTTTGCTTACCTGGCGATGGACGCGGAACGTGCGATCTCTCAATAAAATAACTTTCAGAAGAGGCCTTCATCCGAGTGACCTTAGTTTAAAGGAAACGGCATTGCATGTCTTCTATCATTGTTCTCAGGTTCACCATTCTGGGACTATGTCGTATTGACCCCAAAAATCTCGTGCTCATATGATAATGAGTTATGGATGATTTCACAGTGGAGGCTTGTATTTGTACTAAGTCGGTCCTAAAATAGTTTCGACGTTCAAAACGTTAGAAACGATATAATAGGTATAACGCAGAGTAGTCTAGTTGTGGTCGCTGATACTGTAGTATTCGACTAAATGTCGTCCGATATCGACTGACTGACCAACCCCCACGTTACTCTTTCTACTCCTACTTATTATAGGTGGGAGAGTCTATTGACAATAGAGTAGGTGTGTTCTCCTATAACATAATGTTTCGTCTATGTATTCTGAGGTTAACGGACGGTGTTTCTAACGCTGCTGCTCTTGTGATAAGAATGCTATTCTCATCAGGTCGGATTCTTTCAGCATCAGCTCAAGGTGAAAATCAAAACAGATTTCAGTGAAAGTTGGCTGAAACCAGGAAGCTTGTTTCGTATGAACGAAGCTAACCTTGATTTTCTTTTTTAAGTCCCCTTGTTCCCAACGGGGTGGTTTCCTGATGAATACTCCCCTGCTTAAGATACTCTCTTTATTTATCTAGTTAATGTAAGTAAGTATCGTTGCAGGCCTTTTCTTTTGTTATGATCCATGTCGAGATTCTCAACCTCCCTACTTTTTTTTTTGCCCCCCCTTTTCATCTCTCCTGCGCTAGTTTTTGATCTAACCGCGTCGTTATTTATCTTATCCTTCCCCCTCCATTAGTAAGTGAGCCTCTTGATTCTGTCTGAGGATAGAATACAGCGCCTACACTTATTTTTGTGGGGTGCACGGGTAGGACGAAGTACTAACATGTGCATTGGGTCATGTTTTATTGGGAAAATACAAAAAAATAAATAAATAAAAACGGAATTATTCGTTTTG